TGCTGACAAAGTTGGACTTTAAAGAGCATGAGCTATGCCTAATCCTAAGGTCTGGAATTGTACCACCCCTGGGGGGAGTCTACCACCTACTTTGGATATCTTCAAAAAAGGTCTGGACACTCACCTTGCTGGGGTCATCTGACCCCAGTAGTCTTTCTTGCCCAAGCGCAGAGGGGCTGGACCTGATGATCTCAAGAGGTCCTTTCCAGCCCCATAACATCTATGAATCCCCCAGCTGTCCCTCCCCAAACTGGAAATATTGATATTAAAGCCGTGAGACAAATGCATGAAGTCTGATCAGTGGAATAATGCAGAGCTTTTGAAAAATGTGGTAAAGGAAGAGCTTCTCCCCAGTGAATGATTGTTTCAAAGATCAAATGGCTCCTTCATTGCAGCACCTCTGAGACGGTGAGAAGAGCCTTTGGGATTTACCATTCAGCTGTGTGAAGATTCTGTCTTTAGTTTAATTTCTTCTGTGCAAAACAGCCCTGAGTAGAGGCCGTTTTCTCAGTTAAGGAACATTATGGATTTTCCCTAGAGTCATTTTTAAATGAAACCTAATCTCTGGAAGGGCTTTCCAACATTGTGCAACAGAGCTTCAGGCCAGGAGTAGATGTGCATAATGGAAAGGAATCTCATCCATGGCATCCACCTATGTCACAGTGCTGTTTTATGTAAAGCCTTAGCACACGTTCAATTATATCAACTCCTGGTAGCAGCCTTGCCAAAGTCTGGAATGGAAACAGTCTGTAAGGAAACCTGGACCATGGCTGAAGGAGCCCTAATTTAAGCTACATGTGCCATAACAAGTCTCCAAGCATCATAAAATCCTTGTGGAAAGCATTTGATTTATCATGTTTGACCTCTTTTCTTTCAGCATATTACACAAATCAACCAACCTATTTCAGGAAAGCTTTGAAAGTTCTGTTCTCTCTCAGTAGAAGACTTAAGATACCATGGGTCTTGAGAATACCCAAGTTTCCCCCTTTAGGAAGCCAGGCTCAGAAACCCACTGCGGAAGATGGATTATTTAAAAGCATTTCTTTAACTACCTTAGGAAGAAGATTGGGATAGGGTTTGAGTAACACATTGACAATGTGAAAAGTGTGTAGAGGCCATCAGGGCTTATGGATCCTCAACTCTTCTGGCTGATGTAGTTGCTACAAACAGGAACTCTTTGCAGACCAGTGTCACAGGCTGCTACAGTTCGGAGAGAACCACATTAACATCCAATAATGAAGGAGGTTCTCTCATGGGTGGAAACACACTGTTGAGACCCTACAAGAATTTCTCCTTGTAGTGTTCAGTTTTTAAGAGTATGATATGCAAAAAAATAGTTGCTATGTGCGTGCTAGTCGATAAGTCCTTTTGGCAGAGGAAGCAGCCTAATAACAGCTGGAATCTGGATGTCTCCAAACGATATACCACATGCTTGACGATGGTCCATACTGTCTCTACTCGCTCACTCACAAAGGGACCCACCCATTTGGAAGGGGTGGTGCACTGAAGCATGTCAAGGTGATCTCTCCTCAGGATACATGCTGATTTTATCCAGTTCTGCAAACATTGTGGATGCAGGCTAGCATGCTGCATAATGAATCTGCAGGAGACCATATGTCCAAAAGACTCAGACATATCCTAGCTACAGTGCAAGAATTTTGATGGCAGTTGTGCGATTAGGATGGCTACTGTATTGAATCAGTCCTTGGGTAGAGGCATCCTGGAATCTATAAACTGTACTCATCACCTTGGTGACGATGTTCATTTTTCTTTGTTGATTTCTATGGTGAAAAAAATCAATGAAAGATGAACAGACAGCCAACTGTATCTGCTGTGCTGCCCAGCCTCCAAACAGCCAATCATTTAGTCAGGCAGGCTGTTGCACAGTCTTTTATTTAAGTAGTAACAACAGGTGGGACCCTGATAAAAGCTTCCGGTGCCACAGTAAAGCCAAATGGGGACCCATGTACTGGTGGCAATTCAATCTACATACAATCTTAAATACCACTTGTGCATGCAGCATACTACAACGCAGAAGTCCACACTTTGGAAACTGATAGGTACAAACCATTAGTATACATCTAGAGTTGGAAGTTAAGTGTTCCTGCTGTTGCCATTTTAAACTCAGGATGGACACTTTGGCAGCCAAAATAAACACTTTCTACTTGGTGTCAGGAAACAGATTGAACAGAACCCCTTCTTTTGGGACTGGAATGGGAACAGCCAAGTGACTGCCTATAAATCTACTCATATCTTGTGAGACGGGCCAAGCAAGGTGAACAGGGAGGGTGGCACAAAAAAAGAGGAATAGTATGGAAATGGAGCAACTATCCAACAAACTGTTTCTGAGACACAGCAATCTGTTATTAGTGTTCCTGAAAAGAGCAGAGACAACTCCCAAACAGGGAAAAGGCAGGATCCTATAAATACACAATGCCCAACAAAACCACCGAAAAGATTAGGAGCTCGTGTAATCTGTGAAGTGCTAATGACAGAGGTTTTGATAATATCATCTCTTTTTAGAAGGTTTTCAAAGTTTCTCATGAAGCCCAGGCCCCAATAGCTAATGTGCGAGAATTAATTCTCCCCTGGTTTCAAGAGAACACAGGAACGTACACCCAAGCAGGAGTGAGGAGTAGCCTGGGAGCCCTTCACACAGCACTCGCGTAAACATTAAACAGATCTGAACCTTTGAAGGTAGGATCATGGATTGTTGATTGGACTTTTCATGGAGGAACAGAGCTCTGATGCTGAGCTGTTCTCCTCCTGGCCACTGAAGTGGCCACTGCATGCAATGCTATGTCTGCCAGTCTCAGCTGCCTGAAGTGATGCCTTCACAATTCTTTTTTTCCTCTGAAATTAAAGTGTTACATCCTTTTGTGCTTTCTTGAAGCCTTGTTTTATAAAAAGCCGATAACTTCTTGTAGTTTAAAATACTGAAATAATGCCAATAATATTTGGATGCTGGACTTGCTGAGGAATAACTCTTAGGAGCAGATAAATATAACTGCCTTGGTTTTTTTCATTTGGCATCATTCTTTGTTGTTCCCTGAACCTTTTGTTTCAATAGGCACCAATAAAAAAGCGACATGTGCACTTGTGTACAGCAACAGTCTTCTCCCAAAGACAGTGCAGGGTTACTCTTGCCACAAAACACTGTCAGGGTCCCTTCAGACCTTGCAAATTGCAAGTGCCACACGTCCCGACACACTGGCGTGAAAAACATGAGAGAATTCTTGAACGTCTTCCAACGGGATGCGGGGGAATTTCCAATCCTCGAGGCTGTCAAGATGTTTGGATGAGATGGTGTGAAGGGAACCAGAGTCTTATCCAAAGATGATGATATGGCTGCTGATATAAGCCCTTGCTCTGAGTTGTCATGTTTGTGAAAAATTATGGGCCCTGAATCAGCAGAAAAGGAGGTCTCTTTCCAAACGCTGCTGTGCTTGAAGCACTACGAACCCCAAGCAATTTAGTACTGGCAAGTGGGACCCAGCCACTGATTCTGCTCTTCCCTGCGGCAACATGGGGGCAATACCCACAGCTGGTGCTCTCCCCTCACCGCCCCTCCCCACCCCCCAACTTGGCAAAGGAACTGCTACTGAAGCCCCTGCTGCCAAGTGCTACCAAAGCACTACATCAAATCAAATGGCTCTGGAGGCTGGATCTGGCCCTCGGGCTGTAGGTTACTGCCCCTGCTCCAGTGCCATACACTTCCTTGGGAGAGTACCATTAACAGCAAAGCTGGCTTTGAGAACATGGGGAATCATCCAAAGGTGTTGAAGTCACTGGTGCCAAACCACACAGAACAAGCAGAAGCTGCACCAATATTGTCAGCCCTGGTGACAACTATGCCCCCCCCCCCC